ATATAATATATGTATAGAGAGAGCGCAAATATTTTATCCTAGCTTGTACTTTGTTATTTGATTTTGCTTATTTTTTTTCCTTGTAAAACTTTAATTTTCATTTAGTTAAGTTTATCACTTGACTCTTTAATTACATCTGAATTTTTAGTCACAGTTAGAAAGGCTTTTCTTATAGAGGAATTCATCCATCTTTATCCCCTAGTACTTGTAAAGTTTTATTCTTTACACTTTGATTCATTTGGAATTTATTCTTGTATATGGTGTGAAGAACTGATCTAATTTTATCTTTTTCAAATGGCTAATCAGTTGTCCAGCATGACTTATAAAAAGCCAATCTTTGCGTTAGTGATTTGCAATACCAACTTTATCATATACTGAATTCTCTTTTTTTGTTTTTGAGATGGAGTCTTGCTCTTGTTGCCCAGGCTGGAGTGCAATGGCATGATCTTGGCTCACTGCAAAATCTGCCTCCCGGGTTCAAGCAGTTATCATGCTTTACCCTCCGAAGTAGCTGGGATTACAGGTGCCCACCACCACACCTGGCTAATTTTTTTTTTTTTGTATTTTTAGTAGAGATGGGGTTTCATCATGTTCGCCAGGCTGGTTTCGAACTCCTGACCTCAAGAGATCTGCCCGCCTCGACCTCCCAAAGTGCTAGGATTACAGGCATGAGCCACCACGCCCGGCCTTATATATTGAATTTTGTATATAATTAAGCCTTATCCTTTTTAAGGCAATATATGTAACAATAAATAGCTGAATTAAGTAAGCCCTCTGAATTAAGTTAGTGGACCCTCATAAAAGATAAGTTTTAAAATTAAATATTATCTAAAGATTTTGATAGTCTCCTGATGGGAGTATCTGAATTAAGTGTCACAGCTAAAAATAGTAGAGCGGTCACATTCCCTAGGACCAGTTCTCAAACTTTGTTAAAATGCAGATTCCTGACCTCTATCATTAAACATTTTCATTTAGAAGTGGGGAGTGTGGCCTTCATATTTTAGCTGCTTAACTAGTAGCACAGTGAAGATTGCATAAGGGGTCATTGGATCACTTTTTGAAAAGCATGGTCTTAGAGAAAAGGGACATCCCACACTCTTTCACAGTGTAGCAACACGCGGGAAAGAGAACAGTCAAATTGTTTTGATATGACGAAAGGAAATGCAGGCTTTCTAGTATACACAAAACATATTCAAAAAGCTAGAAGTTTATCACTAAAGCTTTTGGAAGTAAATCTACGTTTAGCAACTCAATTTTTTAGATTTTCTTCTCAATTATCCGGACATGAGATTGAGGTCTGTGATTCTCAGGTCCTTTTAGTTATGCATATCACTCAAGGAGCTATGGACTTCAAATGACTTACGTTTGTGATAAAGCCTCATTTAACCCACAATAATAGGAAGGCTGCTCTGATTTTCTGAAGTTAGAAATGAGAGATTAAATAAGTACATTTGTTGTAGTTTAATATTACACATTCTATGATGAAAACATTGTTTCTTACACTGCCTCCTACTATCTGGAAAATCAGTAATCCTAAAATGTTCTTTCAAAACCAGGGACCTAAATGGCTAGAAGCAATAATTGCTAGAGCTCTCTACCAAGTTTTGACTATAAATATTTGGCCATGTTGTGTGTTAGAAAGTATAAGACACACTTGCTTTCATTTCCTGAGCCTGACTCACTTAATTTTCTCATCCAGATTTGCTTTCATCTGTTTATTCCTTTATAGCATAGATGAGGTCCACTGTGGTTCTAATCTCTGTTATGCATGCTTTTTTTTATGAATAAAATGCCAGGCACACAGAACATACATATGCACATTTTACTACAAGATAGTAAAAGCTCAATGTGCTGGGACTGCATTCCCAATGTGACCTTATTTTCCCACTCTTTGCAGTTTTAAAATGTTATGTTAATCTCGCATTCTGGATGATCCCCGTCCAGAATGGGGATCTCTTTAGATTTCTAGAAGAAATCTAAAGATTTCTTCTTAACAGTGAGTCCTGGCAATGTATAGTGGCCATAGAATAGCTAAATTTGAAGAGGCTTTTTGGCAAAGATTTGAATATCTGTCCTCTGACCTTTTATGGTTCTTGTCTGTATTTCATAATACAAAACTAATGAGGATTTCACTTTCGTGAAATCTGCCTTGCTAAATGCTGCTTGCAAACAACACACTCATTTGTTAGCATTTGGGATACTGATTAAATCATTTTGCTTTAGTGACTGTTAAAGAGTATAGTTTGAAAGAAAAAAAAAATGTTTTTAGACTCCTGTATAGTGTACCAAAATCTATGCAAATTCTTACAAGGCCTTTTAATGTACAGGTGAACCCCAGCACTTATTATCATCTGATGCACAGATAATGCACATGTCACATGTTGGTAATAAAATATCAGAGTTAGACTGACACTCTTAGAGTGTTTAACACTGTTTTATTGGCTTACTGGCCGTAATTGGATTCACTGCATCCATTTTTTTCATGCCACCGCTTAAAACATTTTCCACGTATTTTATCCATGCTTTTGTCACAGCTTTGTCTGTAGCTACATTGACTTGATTACTCATATTCTATGGCAATTCCTGGCATTTGGCTTATTTTTCCATTAGCCTCCTTACTTTCAAAAATCCGTCCATCTTATTTGTTGACAGCCTCTGATTATCTCAAAGGTACTTCAGATTATCCTGACACGTCCTTCCACTTCTGAGAATACTGACCCAGTATTTCAAGACTGAGGTGTCTCTGAGACAGAAGATGGAGCCAGTGACGATGTCCTCCCTTATTCAGACTCTTTGAATAATGCTTTTTACTCACCCTATGGACTCTGCTAGAAAGACACTTTAATATTTTTGCAATTTATATTTTTCTATTATTGAAAAATAATAGAAACCACTGCCTTAGTCGGTTTAACAGTTTAACAAAGTTGTTTTCAAAAGAACAGAGAAAACGTAACTCCATTTAGGTTGTCTTTCATTTGCAAATACTAACTGAAACTTGAGTTAGGGATTGTATAACTTGGAAGCAGTATTAATAAAATGAAGTCATTGGCATATTAAAAATGTCCTAGTGTTCACTTCAAGTGTATTTTTAAAAACCTCACAGGTAATGGTGTGAAAGAAACAAAGGAGATGTTTGCATTCATTATGTTCCACTGGAAAAAAACGGTTAATGTAATTGTATGGATTTTTCCCTTCTTGTTTTTGTGTACTGTATAGCCCATTCTTTGCTTTATGTACAAATACCCTGGTTTCTAAGTGCTACTTATTTTCTGCTGAAATAAAATATCCTTTCAATTTAGTGAGTAACTTTGTATGTATGTGCATTTGTTTGGAAGAGATAGTAAATAATAATAATTTAATTCATGTAGGTCAGCTTTTTCTTCTAAGAAGCTTCATTAATTCACATATGCTATAATTTTTTATTTCCCTTTACCAGAATAAATCTTTCCTCCTAGAATGATGCTTTTTTCTTGAGTAGATACTGCCCCTCTTTAAAGTACCTTAGCTTAGAATTAAAAAAAAAAAACCAGTTAATTTTTATCAAAAACGAATCCCAGACATTATTGGATGGTGGAGTTGGCTTAATGACTTAACTATGTCAGGTCTGACATCTGCATTAATTCTCTAAGCCTTTTCCTTGTGATTACAACATGGCTGCCATCAATCCAGCCATCATATCTACTTTTAAGTCAGGAAGAAATGGAAAGGACCTGCCTTTTGCTTATAATTTTAAAAATAAATATAAACTATTCTCAGGAAGTTGTGTAACCTGAAAATAGAAATGCTACTCATTTCCTATGTGAAATAATATTTTTATCTTTCAAATTAATTATCTGAAAGGTTATAAAATATATCTTTATTACATGATTTCACATATATTCATTTAAGAAATATTGTTCACTAACTATGTTCCATACAATGTTTTAGAAGTTAAGACTACAAATACTACTAAAACAGGGATTTTGCATTTAAGTTGCTTCTGGATTCATCATGAAGAAATACAAGAAAACAGACAAGAATAGTACTGTGTGAATGATAAAGCATAGAGCTTTGCACTGCAAAAGCATCAGATAGGGTGTGGAGTTGCTCTCTGTTAGCTGGAACAAATGAGACTTGACCTGGGATCTGGAGCATGAAGATAAGGTGATTGATAAAAGCAAGAGGAAGGTATGGAGGTTATCTAGGCACCAGGGCCTGCATGTGCAAAGGCCTGGAAGTGACAGAGTATATGGTTTATTCAAGAACAAGTGATTGCATATGACTGGATCACAGGCGTGAAGGATGGAAATTTAGGAAAATACTTTACTCAGGACTTTGGTCTTCATCCTCTCCATGATAATTGTGCTATAGCCTTATTTTACCTGACGCTAATTACTTAGAACTTAGTTTTGGTTCCACTCTTCTGGAACTTGTAAACCAATAAGGCAAATATTTTTCTTGTATTAACATTAGTATTTAGTAGAAACTGTATATTGGTGATCTGCTGGCCTACTCTGACCTACAGGCATGGATAGTGGGGTATTTTTGTTTGTTTTTTTCTTTTTTTAACCTGTACAGAATAAAAAGTGGAATCAGTTTCCAACATTTAACAATCAAGAGATTTCACAGATGAGACTAGTTTTTCTGGAAAAATGAGAAGATCTGGAAATCCTGGGCCTGCATTCCCATACGGCAACAGTCCACTGGAACTGATAAGGGTAGGTAGTATCTGGTTCACTACAGTCTTCATTTTCTGTTGTTTTACAACATGCTCACCTAACTAATTAAAAGTGCTTGGTTGACTGGTGAAGACACTTATATTTGCTATCTCTAGTGCTGATAGAGACAGGAGGAAGCCAAATGCCTAGGCAGATAGGAGTGGGTACCCGGTGAAACCCTACCTTCAAGCAGAAGGTTTAAAGCCTGCAACCCAGCCACATGGGGGACTTTCCCGCCTTTGGATAAGGTAATCACCCACTGTGTCCCCTTTCTACCGAGAGCTGTTCTGTTGCTCAATACAATTATTCTCTGCCCTCCTCACCCTTCAATGTCCAGTGTATCCTCATTCTTCTTGGGTGTAGTACAAGCTCAGGAATCACCAAATGGGGTTACAAGCTATGACACAGGTAAGCTGGGGCATGCCAGTGTGGCAGAGTGAGGCCCAGGCAGGGTGTTGCAAGCTGGGAGTCCCCAGCTTGCAAAGTGACCGAGAAGAAAAGTCCTGCATCTGTGCAGGACATAGGACTACATACATTTGGTTAACTTGCACAATAGCAGTTCTGGACAAGGTGTAGTGATGTAGTTCTGTTTTCACTGATGCAAGCTGACCATGTGGTCAGTGGGTTCACACTGGCCAATAGCTTGCTTCAGAGAACAGAAATGAAGCACCTCTGTGTTATGAATCTTGTTTTTAATTATCTTATATAATGTTTGTAACTCTCAAAATGGTTGCCCCCGATAGACGTTATAATCTAAAAATCCCTTCAGCAAATTATAAGAAAAGGATTATGAGTCTGGAGGCATGATGACTTGATATTAACAAACATCCAAATAGTATTGGTTGACCATTTAATTTCCTTGGCCCTCAGAAACTTTTGTTAGAAAATGTCTATAATGTCACCCCTGATATCTATCCGAGAAGGTTATTACTGGCATTCAAGTGAAACAGGTATGTTACAAGAAAAGCAGGTAACTACTGAAGACCCACAGATGAAAGGAGATGTTGCTTATGGTTAGGAGTCTTGGGATATTGATAAAATGTCTGACCAGAAAGTACGACTGGCTAAAGGAAACTGTCCAACTTTAAACCAAAATATGGTTCCATATGGAGACTTTAAGGGATGTGGTTGGTAGACAGACTAGCAGTAGACAAAGATTTCAAGAACTTTCTGCATTATGTTTTGCTCAGAGAGTGGATGGAACTTATTGAGCCTATTACTGTATGGTCATTATTAGATTTAGTGACAAAAGCCTGTCTCTACTAAAAATACAAAAATAATTAGCTGGGTGTGGTAGCGGGCGCCTGTAATCCCAGCTACTCGGGAGGCTGAGGTAGGAAAATTGCTTGAACCTGGGAGGTGGAGGTTGCAGTGAGCCGAGAGCACCCACTGCACTCCAGCCTGGGCAACGATGTGAGACTCTGTCTCAAAAAACCAAAAAAACAAACAAAAAAAAAACCACAAAAGATTTTAGATAACAAAAAGAAAAAAAGGTAAAGATTATCAGGCCTAGTTCCCTCATTTTAATGAGAAAAAGTAGATTCTCAGTGAGACAAAGTAACTAATTAGTATCAGAGACAAAACAAGAAACATTGGACATCTAAACTCTCAATCCAATGATCCGTCCGTTGTGCCTCTGGTGTCACTTAGAAGAGAAAGATTTGATGCTTACACGGGATTTACCTGAAAAGCTGTTGGTTTTTCTGTTTCCTAAGAAAGCTAGAGAAGACCCTTTTCTTTTGTATCATTCAAGGCTTATTTACTTTGTGGGTCAGCTAGGGGAGCCTCAATAAGTTGTGCTGGATGGATTTGGGGATCAACAGGGATTCTTATGAGATTGATTTTTCAGTAGTTAGAGGAAATAGGAGCAAGATTGCTTAATTGCTTCAAATATTCTGGAAGGCAAGCATTCCAAGCACATCTTACTCTTTTGTCTGTTGGAGTCATAGGTCTTCAATCCTCCAAACACAAGAAGAATCTTCCCTGCTAAAGATCTCGCATAATTTTTTTACACTCACAAGAAAACCTGTTGTAGGTGAGTAATATCATGTATCACCTCTAAGAAATTTTCTTACTTTTATAAAGTTTTGATAGCATTTCATATGAAAAAATATTTTCATATTTGAAATTTTAAAAACTATAGTTTAATAGTGGCTTTTTCTGTTCAATGTGCTGCAAGAGGCAAAGGTTTCCACAATGGGAAACATTATCAAAGGTTTAAAATCCTTTGGTAATGCTAGAATTGGACTATTAGTATGCTCATGTAAATCATTGTTGCCAATTATAATTTATCTATCAATTGAGATATTTCTAATTTTAGCTACGGTTAACCCTAAAAATAAATTCTTTATATTTGTTTAGTAAATTGCCAAATCCACTTGCATTTTTTTCCTGTTTCTTCAATCATTTTTTCTCTCTCTACTAGTCACATCGTGCATGGACTTTTATAACATAGCTTCCTAACTGATTTTCCTGCATCACTCTTTGTCTTGAATTATGCCTATTGACAGCCTGATTAAGCTTGGAAATACAGTAGGAGAATCCCTTTCCTGTAGCATTAGTCAGGAGAGGAACTTTAGTGGAAACACACTATTGGAAGTACACCAGATACAGAGATGAATAGATGCAGAGGTACCTGGTGAGTCCCAGTTTATCCTCACTGTCCTCCACATAGTGGTCCTCTCATCATCCAGACTACAGGACCTGCTGACCAGACTATAGGCCCACCACCAGAAGCTTGATTTCAGACCCACAGAGGCAGTAGCTGCCAAAGACAAATGCTCTCCTGAGGTCTCCCTGAGCTCCTGCTCACAGCCCTGCTTCATAGGTTGGCTGTGCTTCGCTTCTTAAGTCTCTCTGAAAGCGTTGTCTTGCCAACCCGAGTCAGTGCTTCCTGACTTTTCCATCCTCTGACTCCCTCTTCCAGACCTTTCCTTTCCTTGCTTTTCCCACAATTGTGTTAACTCTAATTCCTATGGTAAATCCTTTATGGATTTATCATAATGCTCATAGTGGCTCTGCTTCCACTATTAAAGCCCACCTGATACACCTTGAACTCACCCATTGCCTTTCCCAGAGCAAAATTTTTATAGTGAAAGTGATCATGAACTGACTTAATTCCCCCTCTCCCCTTTCCTTGATTAATCCTTGATCCTCTTCATCTCTTTCAAAACTCTCACTTCCTAGGTTTCAGAGCTCTGTCTCCCTGGGTTCTGCCCTCCTGGGCCACACACCCACATACTTTTGAGTTCAGGGCTTTTGCTTGGACTCACTTGCTAATACAGCAGGCTAGGATTTTATGTGGAGCAGATCTCAGTTCAAACTCTTGTGTTGCCCTTTCTATCTGGGGACTTAGATAAGTTATTTGACATTTGTTAGGTATAACTTGCTCACATGTAAGGGGGGGATAATATCATAGTTACCTTATGAGGGTGGTAAGAGATGTAAATACAAAATTGAAAAGCATCTAGCAGTGCCATATACCTGGGGGTGCCTCCACAGATATTGACTTTCTTCCTCTTTTTCTGTATGCTGTGAACAGTCCTCCATTGTCTTAATGGAGAAGAAGTGACCTCATGGTCCAAATGTTTTACTACCTCTAGTACTGCAAACCCCAGTGGAGAAGGTTCCTAGTTGAACCATGAATTGAAACACCTAGCACTGAAGTAAAAACATCTTGGTTCAAGGGCAAGGGGGTCTATCTTTTAATGTGGGTGATTGTTCCTATGAGTGATTACAGTGAAGCTGTATTTTGAAAAATTGCTGATATTGATGCTGATTACATATATGAAGAATGGACAAAATGAGAAGAGAAAAATGAAAAATTGAACTTTCCTGTAAAAGCAATACTAATTACAGACATTTATACCCGTGGCTTATTATTTATACCTAATTAGTATGCAGCACAATGGCAATGATGCCAGTCATTACATATATCACACCACTAACTTGTTTCACTCAATTGCAACAATAATTTCTCTCCGTGGACCCTTGGCTATTGGTTTGTTGTTCAGGTTTGTTCATCTACTGACAACCTAAAGTAATTAGAGAATGGCAGTTTCCACAAAGAGAATACTGATGTATAGTGATCATTTTTTGCACTTCATCCCTCAAACAGTACTGTGGCAAAGTTGCTATTCTTATCTGCATTTTTCTGATAGGAAACTGAGGCCCAAAGAATGTAAGTAAACGCCTAAAGCCATAAATATAGACATTGGACTCAAATACTTTTCTCTTCCAGCCTCTTACTGGAACCTATGTGGTAAAGCTGATCTGTTGGAAGACGTTTAGTGACACATAAATGTCTTTAACTAATGGCATGAAAATGACATGAGATGGATTTGTAAAATCAAGATTTGTAGGTTTAGGCTTGAGTTCTACATCCTAGCGCAAAGATGTGACTGCTTATCTTTCCCCGGGGTCAGAATTCCTGATATTCTTGTTTTTTAATGCTTGTGTCTGCCTGCACTTTGTAATCTGTAGGCTTCCTAAAAGCTCCCAAAAGTTAAAAACAATAAATCATTTGACGTCTTCTAGCTTGTTTGTTTTTCTTTTTTAAAGACAGAGTCTTGCTGTGTCACACAGTTTGGATTGCAGTGGTGTAGACATAGCTCACTGCAGCCCTGACACCATGGGCTCAAGGGATCTTCCAACCTCCACCTCCCAAGTAGCCAGGACTATAGATGCACACCATCATGCCTGGCTCATTTTTTAAAATTTTTAAATATTTTTTGTGGAGACAGGGTCTTGCTATGTTGTCTAGGCTCATCTTGAACTCCTGAGCTCAAGAGGTCCTCCTGCCTCAGCCTCCCAAAGTGCTGAGATTAAGAGTGTGAGCCACTATGCCCAGCCCTTATTGCATTTTTGAGCTACCCAAATGGCTAGCACTGTCTTCGATATTTCAGAAGTACCCTACTCTGTTCCAAACAAAACGTAACATTCCCTATGGACAGTGTGGTTCCTAACCCAAGTGCACAGTGGGTCCTCATGCCTGATGGCTCTAGAGAAGAGAAGGCTGCAATTGAACCCAAGTTGTTCAGTGAGGCCAAGAAATACTCCCTGTTATTCTGATCTGATGATTTTGAGATTTATCTGCAAGGTGTGGGGGAGAAGGAAAGTCTATTTGCCATGCTTAAAGGAAAGGATAATGGGTTAAAGAAGACTTTGATGAACCTTTGAAGTCTTAAACAAGCTAGATTACATCATTCTCTCCAAAGGTGTTTCAGTCGCCCTTTTTACTTTGGGATTTGGCGGTTACTTTATGACCCCTAAAAACAATGTATCAATTATCCAGTGACTAGTGTTCCAATTAATTTATGGACATGAAGATTAACATGCAATCTGCTAATGCATTAATGAGTTTATAATATTTAGAAATAGGACGACCAAAACTGGTAGACCAATTCTGAGTTTTATCAACCTCAGTGGTTGAAATTAAAATGAAAATAGCAACATTTGTTTTCATTTTCCCTACAAAGAAACTAATTGTTTTCCTCTGGGTAATGATAATTAACAAAATTCCTATTGTGTTCCTGATCAGTTCACAGCTGGTACTTCGATAATCACAAATACTTGGTTTTATGAGGTGACATTAAACTCCTGCCTAACTTGGGAAGTACATTAATTGTATACTATTGCCTGAGCTTATTAATTCTAAATTATGCCTCAATGAACTTCTCAAATTGGGAGCAACATTTATATTAATAAACTGTAGTCAGTGAGAGGGAGGGAGGGAGGGAGAGAGAAATCATAAGACTCTACTACTGAGTGTAGATTTTGTCTGCTCCAGATGTTATAGTTGGGTTTAAAAAACTCTGATATGTTTGAATAAATTCCAAAGGAACGTCTCATCCCTTCTTTTTTTTTTTTTTTTGAGATGGAGTCTCACTCTGTCACCCAGGCTGGAGCGCACTGGCATGATCTTGGTTCACTGCAACCTCTGCCTTCCGGGTTCAGGCAAGTCTCCTGCCTCAGCCTCCCGAGTAGCTGGGATTACGAATGTCCGCCACACACACCTGGCTATTATTTTGTATTGTTATTAGAGGCGGAGTTTCACCCTGTTGGTCAGTGGTCTTGAACACCTGGCCTCAATTGATCCGCCCACCTCTGCCTCCCAAAGTGCTGGGATCACAATCATGAACCACTGCGCCCAGCCTCATCCATTCTTATAATGCATTTTTAGGCATTCTTTTTTCATTAAGCAGGAAAAACGAAGTGCTAGGGAGGCCTGGGATTTGTGGTTGAAATGTGTTCAGAGTGCTACCCTCCCTCATTCCTTGGAACTTTCTGAAGGACCAGAGCTGACCTGAGGACCTGTTGGGTGTATATCACTGAGGGAGTTCCAGGGCTATGCAGGGAAGCCCTGAGTGGGATGCAGTGATTCTTCTCTACTGTGTCTACTTCCATGAGGGCTGCCATCCTTCATGTAACAGTACCTTTAGGAACAGGGACCATATAGCTATATATTTCTATTTCTAAGTTTCAAACAGTGCTTGGCAGCTAACTGGTGGTCAACTAATGTTTGTTGGATGAATGAATGGTGGTACCAAGGAAGATTGGCATGTTTAGTCCAGGCTGCTAAAGGAGGTTTAATGGTAATTGGCCAATGTGTGGTGATTAAGCCTCAACAGTTACATAGATAAAACCATGTTTATACTGATGTTGCTTTAACAATGCTATTAAAGTCTGGCACCGTGGCTCATGCCTGTAATCCTAGCACTTTGGGAGGCTGAGGCAGATGGAGCACTGAGGCCAGAAGTTTGAGACCAGCCCGGCCAACATGGCGAAACCCCATCTCTACTAAAAGTACAAAAGTTGGCCAGGTGTGAGGGCACACACCTGTAATCCCAGATACTCAGGAGGCTGAGGCATGAGAATTGCTTAAGCCCAGGAGGTAGAGTTGCAGTGAGCCAAGATTGCACCATTGCACTTCAGCCTGGTGACAGAGTGAGCTTCTGTCTCAAAAATATAAAAGCCAGTGAATGTTACTTCTATCTTAAATTTCCAATATAGCAACTTAAAAAAATGATCTTTAGTTTTTACGGATACATAGTAGTTGCACATATTTATTATTTATGGGGTACATGTGATATTTTGATACAAGCATACAATGTGTAATGATCAAATCAGGGTAACTGCAATATCCAACACCTTAAACATTTATTACTTCTTTGTGTTAAGAACATTCCAATTCTACTGTTTTAGTTATTTCAACAATAAATTATTATTAACTATGGTAAATTTTTAAATACAATAATATCATGCTGATGAGGATATGTGAAAGACACATTCATGCAACACTTTCGGAAAGAAATTTGGCAGTATCTATCAAGAACTTGGACAATTTTTGTTATCTTCATTCTGGTAAAATTCAGCATCTGTAAGTCAGGTTTTTTTTTTTTTTTTTGTATGAGTCCCAGGTCCAGCTTTATTACCTAATACAAGTCCAGCTTCTGGAACATTCAAATTCACTGTTCCAAAGTTTAATTAAAAACACAATTTACAAATATTTAATATCTTCTGAAAAGCATTTCTAAGTTAAGAATGAAAAAGTATGTACATAATATATAATCAAATATCAGGCGGCTTCAACTTCCACCAGGTCCACAGTCAGCAACATCTATCTTTTTAGGTTCTTCAATATATTCTGTCTAATCCACAAAGTTGTTTTCCATGACAGGGGAAAGAATGGAAATCCCTATTGCTTTCTGAACTCCATAGGTGCTTACGGTATCACCTGGAGTTACTTGCTGTGCAAATTCTTTAAGGATCACGAGGTCAGGAGATCGAGACTGTCCTGGCTAACATGGTGAAACCCCGTCTCTACTAAAAATACAAAAAACAAGCTGGGCGTGGTGGCGGGCGCCTGTAGTCTCAGCTACTTGGGAGGCTGAGGCGGGAGAATGGCGTGAACCCGGGAGGCGGAGCTTGCAGTGAGCCGAGATCATGCCACTGCACTCCAGCCTGGGAGCACAGCGAGACTCCGTCTCAAAAAAAAAAAAAAAAAAAAAAAAAAAAGATTACTGGTCTCTTGTTCAGCAAGATGCATTTCTCTGTATGAGGGACCCAAGAGACAGATCATGCTGGGAAGGGATCTGGTGCTGAAACATTCATTCTGGGATTCCTGGGGTTCCCTGAGCAATCTGGTGGTCTCATCAAGTTTCCTCTGGAATAGTTCAGCTTCTTCAGGGTCAAAAACTTCAGTTAGAATGCCAAAGCTCGCTACTGCTTTCAGCGCTATGAGCCTGTCTTGAGTATTGGAGTTCAAACCTCCTGGTGGCTCTACTTCTGTAATCTCCATTTCTTTTGCTGTGTCAAGTGTCCTAGTGTGGCCTTCCATCTTCAGGCAATGAAATCTCCAACTCTTGTAGGGTCCTGGAATGTCCTCCTTTTGTTAAAACATCCAGTAAACTATCTGCCATCTTGGCACGTGGCCAAAAACTCATGGATGCTGAAATCGCTTGGAAGATCAGAGTCTCCCCCATAGCTTGAATGGACTAAATCAGAATCATCCTTACTGATATTTACAAATGTGGAGGCATAATGCGGTGCCTAAGAACTGTAGGGCCCCTAATTCAAAGATAACACTGGAGTGACTTTGTTCTTTTGATGCCCTTTGAACCCCTGCAAAGTATTCACTCCAAACGGAAGTCTTCCAGTTGTCATTCCCAGTCTCACAGGGCAGTAGCCTGGCTTTCCTACAATGGGATCCACAGGATGGAGAAGTCCCAACATCGTTGTTCCTTCTGGTTTTCTTCTATCAAATTCGCACTGACAGTTCACAAGCCGCCTGGTCAGTTTTCTTCCAGATTCCTTCACGATAGGGTCAAGCTGCTCCTGCTCTCTCTCTAAATTATTGCTTTTAAACTTATCTTCAAGCATATGTTATTTTTCTTTTTATTTTGTTTGCTGGGACTCTTGATAGTGTGTGCTTTGGCATCTCCAGAGTTCTCTCTGTCAGCAGCCTCCCTCCTCCCCAGTCTGTGAGGTGTCTGTTCTATCTTTCTGTTTTCGAGTTTTCTACAAGTCAGCCATGAAGTCTACGCTCTGCTTCAGGCTCTGAATTCTTTCCTGGCTAAGAATTGTCATCCCTGAGCGCAACAGCTTATTTGCAGCTTTATAATAAATGGTCTCTGGTTTATTGTAAGTCATGGCATTAGTACACATTAGTTTGCAGTTATACTTTAGTTCATCTCTGGGCTGGTAGTCATTGTTCCTGATCTTTTCTTTCATGGTACTAAAATCCATTGGATGTTTAATGATCATGGAGTAGCCAGGAGCAATACAATCAGTAACAGGAAATGAAAAGAAATCTCTTGGATCTTTTCTCTGCAATTGTCTCATCAGTTGGATTCAAAGCTTCTTGAAGGGGTGTCTGTTTTACTTCTTCTTGTTTGGCTAAAGAGCTTGTGAGAGGCTTCTCAGGAGACAAGTCTAATCTCACAGGGACGTGACACTGGAGGTCTTTTTCCGCCTCATTCTCCACCCGGTCTCGATCTCGCTTCTTTTTATCTTCCTTAACTCTCTCCATTTTCTCCCCTTTTCTTTCCCTGGAACCTGCTTCTCTCCTTTCTCTTTTTCCGCTTTCTGTCTTTGTGTTTGTCATGATCGTTTTTGTCTTCGAAGAGGCTGGAGTCGTGTCCCGAGCTGCCCATGAAGAGTTTGGTGACTTCGTTCCCTCCTACTTTGAGGACCAGCTTCAAGGGCTTCTCTACATACTCCTCGTAGAGATGTTTGTCCGACTTGTGCTTCTTGGGCTTCCTGCCCATGTCCCACCGGGCCCCAGTGCCCGCTCCCCGGGCCAGGCCCAGGCGGTGCGGCGCTGCTTCCGGTCCGGGCCAGACCAGCGGAGGGCGGGAGCAGGGCCCGCGAGACCCCGTGCCATGAGGCAGGAAGGCGGAGCCGGAAGACAGTTTTAATGAAGTAACTCGAAATAGAAAAATAGCTTTCTGTACACAAAAGTGGTGATCTCAGATTTATTTGAACTCATGGGAAATAGTCTGAGTTTCCAATGAAGTGGGAATGGTATTGGTGCTTTACTGATTTAAAATGTTTTTCAAGACTTTACAGTAATACGACGAATTCTTAAGGGTATAAAGTGTATACATCATTATCACAACAAAAATATACTATATATAGAAAAGCCTAGAAGGAAATATTATTAAATGTAAGAATAGAAAAGAGATTGGGATAAAATCCAGGGAAATATAAACATTTTTTATATTTTTGGTTTGTTTTTGTTTTCCCAGTTTTTAGTAGACCCTTTTAATGATGCCTCCTCAACTCCCTTGTGTTGAGAATATGTGACTCTGCCAGGTCTCCTACTCCCTTCCTCACCCACTGCCCCTTCTAATCTCCCACTACCCATTGCAGATTGGATCATGATGGGCACCTGACTCATGCCGGGCAAATTGGAGTTTTTCCTCTGGAAATTTAGAACTGGAAATTCAGAGAAAGCAAGTCAGTTTGTATGCATGCCTTGGATTGAGAGACATGAACATTTTGGACTAGAGGTGGAGGTATCTTTTCCCACTTGCACAAAGAAAGCAGATTTTAAGGAAAATAAGACGAAAGCAGATATACAGAGAAAGAAAAAGATCTAACATCTAACAGAGGAACTGGTTGATGATGACTTTCTAGTTTCTGGTTGTAGCTCTCATGAAACCTGGCTGAGTACCATGAGATATTCTTGTGCCTTATAGTATACAGTATTGTTATTATTTATTCTCAAGTCAGTTTCTGTTCCTGCAATCAAGTATTACTATATAATGGCTTTACTTTTGGGCCTTTAAATCGGTGAAGCACTGTAATTCTATGTCCACGAATAACCTATGCTTCTTACTTGCTATAGTGTGTCAACAGGAGCTCTTGATAAAATATCTATTGTTTTTGGAAATACATCAATCATTATGTACTCTATAATATTCTAGTAGTAATACATGATAACTAGAGACATTTCCAAAAACATGCTAATTCACCAGGCTGGAGTGCAGTGGCCCGATCTCAGCTCACTGCAACCTCCGCGTCCCAGGTTCAAGCGATTCTCCTGCCTCAGCCTCCCAAGTAGCTGGGATCACAGGTGCACACCACCATGCCCAGCTAATTTTTGTATTTTTAGCAGAGATGGGGTTTCACCATGTTGGCCAGGAGGGTCTCGATCTTCTGACTTCGTGATCTGCCCACCTCAGCCTCCCAAAGTGCTGGCATTACAGGCCTGAGCCACTGCACCCAGCCAGAAATATATCTTAATGTTAACTGTGGTATATTTGAGTTGTGGTTTTACAGATAATTTAAATTTTTCTCTTTGTATTTTCCAAATTTTCTGTGGTGTATATATAAATGTAGTTGGTAATAAAATAAAAAGTTATTATTATTTTTCAATTTTATTGGGGTTGGGTTTAGGAGTGGAAAGTTTAATAGACCAAAAAAAAAAAAAAAAAAAAAAGAAGAGAGAGGAAGCTTCCTCATGCTGAGAATGGAGGTTGCCCAGGAGTGGGTCTCCCAAAAGTTCTATTTTTAATGAAAAAATAATTACCTTAGTCACCAAAACAGTATTGTCAGTCTTCCCTTCTTATTCCATCAGGTGTAGGAATTTAAGAAAGAAAGAAGGATGGAAGGAGGAATAGAGTGTGGGCTGCCTGGGATGCTCTACCTATGGGCTTCAGGCCGTCTTGTTGTTCTCTAGGGGAGTGTTGATAAGGACTGGGATTTTTTCCTGGCGAGGCTTAGAGTAGGTAGCGGCTGAAAGGTCTAGTTTGGAAGTAAATATCAGTTTTGAATCCTGGCTCTACTCTTTTCTCTCTATGTAGACTTGGAAAATTACTTAACCCTTGTTAGTGTTGGCTTTCTCATCTGTGAAACGATGGAGCTAGCTCTTGGGATTGTTGAGAGCACAAAATGAGATAGCATAATCAATCATTTAGAAGAGTCACTGGGTCCTAATAAGTGGTTGTGGTGTTTTTTACCCTTACTGTTAGGTGACAGACGTAAATCCTCCATAGGCACTCTATTAATCCTCTATATCTACTGGCTTTCATTATTTTTGTGTACACCTGACATGTCCGTCTTTCTATATCTCTAGCAATTCTAAAATAGTTAAATCAGTGCTTCTGAAACTTGAATGCCCATATGATTAACCTGTAGACCTTATTAAAGTGCAGATTCTGTCTCTGTATGTCTGGGGTGGGATTCAAGTTTTTAATTCTTAATAAGCTCTCACATGACGTAAATGTTGATATTCAAAGATCACTTTTAGCAGCAAGGATTAGGATGGCCCAGCTCAAATCTAACATCTGTGTGAAATCATGAACAATGTCCCCAGACAGAATCGTCTTTTCTTTCTTTGGCTCTTGAAGCACATCATTTATATTCCTAACTCAGCACTTAGCACATTCAGCCTGCTGTGGTGTATGCGATTCTGTTCATTTCTAACTAAACTCTTGACAGTAGACTGTGTGTTCAACTCCTGAAAGCTGTCAATGTCCACACGGGGACGTTGACGTACTTGACCCATGATTATCATGTTACTGAACTGGATAGAAAATAATCGAATAATGTCCTAAAATAGCATTGTTTTTTACATGAGCATTCACTTAGAAATCACCAACATCAATCAACTCAACTAGTGGGAATCATGAAAGAGAATAGTGGTGTGACCCACATAATGGATGATTTTGGTTGCTTGGCAGGTGTTAACCCAATTGCCACAACCAAGGAGGATTTAACAAGGGCATTCTGGTTACTTGCAACAAGTAAGGAGAACACTGGGGGTAGTTCCCAAAGCAGTGCGTCTCTCCGAAGGAAGGTGAGAGCGGGGCTTTCATTATGCTGGTTGGCTGAGTCGCTGTATGAAAGGTGGGGTAAAGGCAGTGAAGGCACAGTCCTGATCATGCTTCTTCATACATTGCAGGTATAGAAAACAGTGAATAAAATCCTCCCTAGGAAGGGTTTTTAGTATGGTAATAAGGAGAGTTCACCAAACTTCATCTCCAACTCAGGCAACTCTGGTTTTACCTGGTTTTTGTTTTACTGTAGCTGAGCTTCTTCCTGGAACCTTTTGAAACCACAGAAACTCAGTGTGCCACAGTTACAAGTTACTAGGGTACCTTGAGTTACAATGTGAATGATCCCAAAAGGCAAATAAATCATTGTGATATCTTCCTTCTTTTAAAAATACACTATAGAATGCAGGTGGGATGATTTACTGGGTGGGATGACAAAGCTAAGCTGAGATGATTTATTTTCCACAGATAGTCAAGTAAATGACCAATAATTTGCCTTTCAAATTCTGAATCTCTTCCCTGGCCATGCTTTAAATGGAACTTCCACATGGGCCAGAGCCCAAAGTTGGATCCCTTTGCACAGAGGCTAGACATCGAAGTAGTGGCCTTTGGGGTAACACAGACTCACTTCTGTTGAGAGTAATTAGCAAAGAAAATTTGTGGGAACTGAGGAAAGTTCAGCAGAAGTCTGCCCTCTCTGGACATTTTTTGGTGGCTAGGAAGCAGGGCAATTGTCCTGCCTGACTGTGGGGTTTGTTCAGCCTTATCATGGACAGCTTTTGCATAATTCCGACTTTCCTTCTCTGGAGTAATTGACATTTCACTTCAGAAGGACTTTCAATTTTATTTAAAAAATCCAATCAACGTAAACAGAAGAGAAATTAAATTTTCAGTAACATTTTACTCCGCTACCACTTATGTCCTTAGGGAAGCTTAAAGAATTTTCATCGGTACACTAAAAATTAGATAGTTGGGTATGTTGCAAAACTTTGAACACTTGATTCAAAATTCCCACTATTGCTAAGACACTCTTATAAAACAATATTTTGGGGGGAACTTAGCAAGTACTGTTTTTGTGAAGTGGTCCCAGTGGGAATGAGGTTTATGCCTAACTCTTTTTTTAAAATTTGGTTTGTGCCTCTTGTGCCTGGTATCCAGTATTAGTTACAGAGTAAACAGTATTTTCCGATGACTGACAGGGTCAGCTGTTCTGGGAATGTGGCCGTTGACCTCCCTGATGGATTACTGTCCTGCAGGCTGCTTCCAAGTCAGTAGAAAGGTAAGCGTTCTCTCTGTATAAGTGCAGATTGCTTTGGAACGTGTTACAATTTCAACTGATAAAACTGAAAGTACATTTTGGGCACACTGTCTCAAAGGGCACGGAGCTGTTACTTTGGGGGCGAAATGTTTTGTCATGTCAACACAACCATGACAGTTAAGCTGCTGGGTTTAGGGGAGGGGTGAGCTGGGTGTTGAATCTGGTTGTGTTGATTAAGTCATAAAGACCCAGGAAAACTTAAATCCGGAACTCCTTTCCAAAGTTGGAAACACACATTGTAATTCTGTTTCTGAGTCCTTTTCCCTAAAATCTTGTGAGTTTTTCTTGGTTTGTTGTCTTTACTCCTGAAATAGTAATGGTGTGTGTGTGTGTATGTGAGAGAGAGACAGAGACAGACAGACAGACAGATAGACAGAAAGTGGCTACTAGGAACTACTAGGAAGTTGAAAGGGCCTAGAAATATATTTATTGCAAATGCAAGAGCAAAACCTCTTCAACCAAGTACCTCTGTGGATGTAATCATGCACAAGAGAAAATATATTGAAAGCCCCTTGAAAACGTGCTATTATATAGTAGTTGAGAAAATGGAACATGCTGGACTTGATTCTCAACTGATTTTAGCCAGTTTGTTTTATGAACTCTGAAGGTATGAATTTAGTTTTATATCCTAATTACTATTGTTATGTAGAAATTGTCATCAGTGTTAATAGTAGCAGTTTTTTAAAACCTCACATTTTACTTTCAATAAGTTTCCAATAAAGGAATTGCATTTTTTAGATGATGCACAAATTTAAAAAAAACACTTTTCAAAGTTCTTACAGTTCTCACTTGATTCAA